ACAGGTTATCAGGAGGCATAAAGGTGACATTATGAAGAAATCAATGTATAACATGCTCCTTGGAAGCTATATTCAAGGCCCATTGCATCATGTGCTAGGTATAAATGCAGGATACACTATAAAATGCAGTAACTACTACACTGTAGAAAATCTCAAGATCCTTAAAATAACAGAAATATAATCTTAATAATAGTATTATAAGAGAAAATAAAATAAATGATTAGCAGCAACTCAAGGATTTTCAATGCCTAGGGCTGCATTTCTACACAAAATATTTTCAAGTAGGCTTCACGTAATGTATGTATATATTAAATACATACATATAGAGTTATTCTAGAAAGCAATAACTGTGTGTCACTGTCACATATTAGCTAAATCCCTGTTGCTTAGTTTAGTAACTTGCAATTACAGTAGGCCCATTTAATCTGTGAGGATCTAGTGAGTCAACTCCTCCATAAATGTCATTGATTCAATGGCCCTGTGCTCTAGTTGTGACTTATTATGCTAAGCAACAGGATTTTGCCCATTAAATGCTTGTGTTAGAAGCTGATTGCTCTGCTTTAGACATAGTGATGTTTGCCTTGGTTTTTTGACCTCTTGCTGTTTTCACACACACTAGACTGCTTCCTAAACCTACTGCTTTGAAAGTAAATACTAATTAAAGCTGTGAAATTTCCTTATGAGTAGGACAGTGCTTAATCAATTAAGCAGGAGGGAGGCTTGGGAAAATACAAAAACAATACAAGTACATAAGACGAGGGGGGGAATTGTACATGGCAAACGCAGCCTTTAAAAGGTCAGTCCCCTTTCTGCATACCATTTAGAAGACAGAATACTTTTTCTTAGATGTTTGTTACTGCAGCCTACTTGCAAATCCAGAAAACAAGGGGGGGGGAGTCCTGTTAAGTCCAGAGGTATTTTATTATTGTGCCAGTGCAGGCAAATAGATTAACTGAAATAAATTAATATGATTAATTAAATAAGATCTGTTGAACAGCCCTGTTTTTAAAGAATGCTTTTAAGTTCCAGGATTGTTTGCATCTGAGAAGGCTGGCTGGATTAGGGGATTTGAGTGAGTTAGTAGTGAATCAAACACTGTTATCGAAAGCCTATTAAAATTCACAGATCCTTCTAATCAAACTAGCAGGCAGAACCTACACACATTTTCCAGGAAGAAAGTAAATATATGTGTAGGTGGGGTGTCCTGCTGGTTTCAAAAAGAAATGACTTGCAATAGTGCGAGCATTATGGCTATCAGGAAAAATAAGCAAATGTATAACATACACCAACGCATGAAGCGATAATCCATACGAGTTGAAAATTAACAGGAGAAGCTGCGGAGCGATGGAGAGGTGGGGGGGGGGAAACGTCTCGTAATGGCGAGACGCAAGAAAGAGTTCGGATCCCATAGGGCAGTCTGAGGGGGAGCTGGCCTTGGTACTGAAACCACATTGTGCTATGCGGTGCTAAGGCAAAACTCCTCCTCCGATGGGACGGAAGCAGTAAATAAATCAGCATCAAGCATATTCTATTGACTGAAAATTTGTTGAGAGAAGTACATGCAATGAGGATTTATAAAATAAAAGGAAGCAGCCTTTCAGGCTGCCGCACCCATTGATACCTTGCTTTGGGTGGGAAAGGGTTAGGGTTTCTGAATGTCCACCTGTATTTTACACCAGGAAAGCAAACCTGATAATATTTCCCAAACCTGCAGCTATGCTTCCCTTGTTACTACGGGGTATAAGGCTTGGCCCAGTACATGACACCATTTTTGTAATCCAGAGCTGAAGGCAAGGCCCAGTGAGAGCTGCCAGTCTTCTTATTAAAAGATTTTGTCTCCCTTTGGCCAATGAGGCCCAGGAACATGCCTGGTAGATCCTCAAAAGCCCTGGAGAGGTAGCTGGGCAGTTTTGTGGCCCTGTCTGTCGGCAAGCCCGGGGAGAGACTTGTCTGTGCCTGGGTTGTCGTTCCTGGGCCTGGATTAGAAGAACAGCCTTCCGGAAGAATTGTTCTGTATCCATTAAGACACCAGCTTCTTTGGCAGGATTTGATCCACCCAGAATGACACAACTGTGTCACTGTGTTATCTGGGAATGACTGAAAGCCCAAGTGTTCAGTGTGGTGAGGAGAGAGAAAGAGAAAAGGCAGCCGATGCCCTGGTTAAATCTCTACACGAGGAGGAGAAAATGTTAACCACGAGGAAGTGGGTGGGTGGGGTGAGACTTTGTCTGCCAGCAGTTCGTGATTCCACTGAGGGAGAGAAACAGAGAGCAGGTAAACTAGCGGTTGTCTCCGTCTCCCAAGGGTCGCTTCCCCGTTTCAATGGGATGTTCCCATAGAATCGAACTTCAGATTGCTCGGTTCTCCTTTACTTGTTTAGAAAGGGTTGCTCCTTCTCTGAAAGTGTGCCCGCCTGCACACATCTACACAGAGACGCCCGTGTTTGACAAACGCCTTCACATCCTCTGACAGCATTAGGTGATGAGCACCCCCGGCGATCAAAAGTGCCCCTTCTCCTCCCCTGGCAGAGAGCATCTCCACCTTCGTTCGCTCCCTCCCTCCCTTCCTCCGCTAAAGGTGACATATCAGCCGCAGGAAGGGAGAGGCTTAAGTCTTTCTGAGTTTCCAGGATACAACACATAGCTTCAGTACCAACCAACTGCTTCCTCGCACACGGCAGCCCCGAACACAGTTTGGGAAGTGAGAGTTTTAGCGGGTTCCGCAATCCAGTTAAGACGTAGCAATAGGATTTACTCTGTTTTTAAAAGCCCCATTGAACGCAATTGGATTATATGGGTTTAACCCTGGTACATCTGTAAACTGCTAGTTGGATGAGTGGAGAGGAGTTGTACCACACAGTGCAGAGTTTCTGGCGCTTTTTAGAAAAGATGGGGGCATCACCCCCACCTTCGGATCGACCCTGAACTCTCTAGTCAACCTCTCACAGGAGTCATCCATCACCAAGATGGGACACTCGCGAGGAGCGGGGAGAGGGGGGATGTCTTTAATTAACCTGGAAACCGTCTTTGGGGAAAGGCGTGGATGGCAACTCATTGGCTGGCATCACTTCGCGGATCCCAGTGCTCAGCCACAGTTCGGGATCCGTCTCCTCCTGCCAGAGGAATCTCCCCCTCCCCCGCAGCAGCTCTCCATGGACGACAAACCAGCCAGACGTCCTACAGTCAGCTCGTCCACATTTACCTACTCCCTCCACCCACAGGTGACCCAGAGTGCCAAGGTGAGCTTTATCCAGAGGAAGAAGGCATTCCTGGAGACCGTTGCTACCAGCAACGTTCCTGAACAATCGCAGCCCGGACGGGGAGGAGAGAGGTAGCTGAGATAACACAACTATCATCCCAGCCCCCCACGGGAATGATGACTTTGCCGCGGTTTGTAACCCCCTCTACCTTTCTCGGCCCCAAATCCAACAGGGTTGCTGCAAACAACACCTCTCGGAGAGGACGGGGTTTAAGGACAGAGGAAGAGATGGGGGTGGGGATGGCTGCTTTGCGTGGAAGTTAGGATCGCCTCTCCTCCTCCGCCTCCGCACACAATCAACCCCCCCGAGGGATTCTACACTCCACCAACCCCGGTGATACCACGGTGGGAAATCCCGAGCCCTTTCAAAGGGCCAAGAGCTTTGCCCTTGACTTCAACGGGACTCGCATTCCACGGCGGGTCGGGAAACCCGGGAAGCGAGTCGCCGCTCCGGCCTGCGGTTCTCCTTCCAGCCGCACTCTCGCTTCTTTCTGAGTACAGTAATTTAAGTCGGACAATTTTGCTGTCGGGTCTGCAAACGAACCTGACCTTGAATTCCCCCACCCATTCTCGCACTTCCTTCTCTACCTGGAGTCTGGCAGTTCAGATCCTGA